CAATGACCCACCAACACCTCACTCAACCCCTCCGATAGAGGAATAAGTAACGACGTGACCGAGAACAAAACCATAAACAAAGACCGCTCACCAGAGGCGGCGACGAAAAATCGTCATGAAAGAGAGCCAAGCACAAAAATCCGGACGCGCCCGACAGAGAGACAAGCGGGCGAGAGAGACAAGACAATGTTCGGCAAAAAATCACAACACGCCGCACTGCGCGAAGAGAAATCCTCTTAAACTCTCTACCTAGACCCTGCTGCGAAAAAGGCAGACACGACCACTGGACAATCCACACATTAAATAATATCGAATGTCCACAAACCACATGCCCTCACGTTACACGACCGAACGTAAAACATAAATGTGTTTGCTCCTTTCCCCTTGCCACTCACTTGCGCGCAAGAGATTGGGAACCCCCCCACGCCACCCAAACGACCGTAAAGATACTTGGTCTAGAACCACTGGCGGTCGTAAAAAAATAGCGGAGTTCCTTCGATGTTGTAGATAAAGCGAGGCTGCCTCTTAGGGGTCTTTGCTTGGGGGGGGGGGGGGGGGCTAAGGAGGGGGATGAAGGAGTTGGCAGGTGGTGTTGGAGAAGGGGAAGTGGTTGAGGAGGGAGGGGAAGGGGTGAGGAAGTGGGGGGAGGGAAAGGGGGGAAGGGGAAGGAGGGGAGGGGGGAGAAGGGGGAGGAAGGGAAAAGGGGGGAGAGGGAGGAAGGGGAAGGGGAGGTGCTTGAGGAGAAGAGGGGAGGGAAGTGAAGGAAGGAGTGGGTAAGCGGTGTTGGAGAAGAGGAGGAGGAGGATAAAGACAGGTAGTTTTGAGGAAGGGGAGGGAATGGGGGAAGAGGAAGAAGAATGGTGGTGTTGGAGAACGAGAGTAGATGGTGGGGGAAGGGGAAGGATTAGGAGAAAGGAGGGGGAAGAAGAAGAAGACGTAGAAGAGGAAATAGGAAAAAGAGTAAGAGGAATAAAATGAGAGAAAAAAGAAAAACAAGTTGCATAAGACCATAAAGACTGAATAAAAAAGAACAAAAAGGAGAATTGAGAAGGAAGGAAATAAGTTGACACAGAGAAAAAGAAGACCCAAAGAAAAATAGAAAACAAGAGTGTTTGTAAAAAAAAAAAAAAAAAAAAAAAGAAGAGGAAAAATATCTATGAAACATGAGCGAAAGGAAGATTCAGAGGAAAAGAAGACAAAGGAAGATATTTCAAAGAAGAAAAATAGAAAAAAAGAAGAAGAAGAGGTATAAAGGAGGAAGAAGATAAAGAGGAAAAGGGAGAAGAGAAGAGAAGAAGAAAGAAAAGGAGAAGAAGGAGGAATGGAGAGAGAAGGAGAATAAGAGGAATAAGAGGAGGAAAAGAAGAAGAAGAGGAAAAAAGGAAGAAGAGGAGGAGAAGGAAAAGGGAGAAGAGAAGAGGAGAGGAATAGGAGTTAAAAGAGAAGGAGAATAAGAGGAATAAGAGGAGGAAAAGAAGAGGAAGATGAAGAAGAAAAAGAAAATAAAAGGAAGAGGAGGATGAGAAGGAAGAGGAGGAACAACCCGCGCACTCTGCATGCCGCCCGTGTCTGGCGAGCGCGCGCGCCGGAGGGACGAGCGGCGCCGCCGAACCGCCCTCCCGACGGGCCGCTGTTCGGGCCTCGCGCGGGGAGGCTTTCTGGGCCTTCTGCAGGAAAGATACGGTGTGGCACGGCGAAACACGGCACGGTATGGCACGGCACGGTACGGCACAGCACGGCGAAACGCGGCACGGTATGGCAGGGCACGGTATGACACG